CTTGGACTTGAAGGTGAGTGACTTGGGACTTGACTTGGACTTGAGAAGACTTGATGCTTCTCTTAAAAAAAGTATATGTTTTTAGAAAATACTTTTCTCTTTACAGTTGATGCATGAGGTGCTTCATTTTACAAGAACAAACTGGAAGATGTCCCTCCCACTTCTGTTTGCTACTTTGGATGGAACTGAAGTACTGTGATGTAGTATCCTCAAATGTACTACAATAGTATACAGTATAATACAGTAAAACAGAGGGAACTACAAAGTATATGATCCTTCATGACAAAATAACAATTATTTAACAGTTTTAAATCTGAATTCTTTCTGTTCTGACTATAATGATTCACACTAAGATCTTGACAAGACATTTAAAAAGGAAAAATTTGCATTCTTACATACACATAAATGCTCATATATAAATGTACCAGGACTTTTTAAATACAATTGAGTTAAAAAATCATCTAAACTGTAAATATCTAAGCTACTTTGGTTTAAAGACTTGACTTTAACTCGAGTAACTCGAGACTCAACTTGGACTTGAGGTTAAAGACTTGAGACTTGCAAAATAATGACTACAGAAGAAAATGTGTTTCTTATTCTTAAATTTTCTCTGCAATTTGGATGGAATTTTGTGCATTGATGATATAGATAGATGGATTACTTTCTGAAAATTACCACAACTTCCTGTAATTTTCAACAGTTTTTGCCGCCTAAACTTCAAAAGCTGCAACTTTATTGGAAACGATGATAAATATTCACCCCATGTATGCCTACTTCCCCACTAACTTTCTTTTTTAGCACAAACGATCACACGATAGCGCTCAATACACAGTGACTCCTCCACAGACCGTCCGTATATGTGACAGTCCACATTATACCATAACACAAACACTTAGCCTCGCAGCGTCGCGTGTCACATCCGCGCACTTTAGCCGTCGGCGCGTTAGCTTGAGCACACAAATAGCTCCGCTCCTGTGCGTAATGCGTAGCCCTTAGCGCCGCTGTCGCCCTCGTTCACGCCAGAGCGGGCTGAGGCCGGTCGCGCCGGGGCGTCCACACATTTGCCCACACCACCAGGCTAATTATGCAGAAGTAATGTGCTACATGTCTAATGCCGGCACCGTGTGAGGCTGGCATGACGCGGCGTGGGCTGGCTCTGTTTGGTGTGCCCACGACCCACGGGAAGATGGTAATGTCAAGAGGTGAGAGGATGGTGGTTTTGCTGCATTAATGGGTTCATATTACGCTTGGGTGACCTTTAGAGTGACCAGACATCCCTATTTACCAGGGACAGTCCCAGTTTTGAGCCCAGTGTCCCCTGTCCCAGTGGATTTATACAAAACCAGGAATTTCTCCCAGTTTTATACAAAAAATCTCTCAGGTGTCCCTAGTTTTGACCAATTTGATCCTTTCCAACAGTAAAGACATACATAAATTGTCATTTGTTTAGGTAAAATACAGAAAAGCTGCTTAAAAATGACCAAAACACAAAGAAAATGTGACTATACTGACTCAAATGGACTGAATGCATAACAATTTTCCTTAATTACACACTCCTTTGACAATTGTATTATTACCAACCACCACAGGAGAGTGTCTCAGTTTTTGATTTTGAAAACATGGTCACCATATATGACACTATTTTCTGATTTATGTTATATTTTTGATGAGGAAACAACATCATAACTCAAGTTGTGTTTTGTTTCATTCACACCTCCTACACAAACCCTGCATATTTAAGCTGTATTCTTCTCTCAAAAGGAAAACACTCTCCCTGTTCCACCTTGTGATGTCATATTGTAACACAGGAAGTGCTCCACTCCACACACCTTTACTAGGATAATTTGGATGATTTCAGATCTGGAATTGACAATCTCTACTGAACCAAAGGTAAAAGGAGCTTTTAACTTGGAAAATAACAGCTTCATCAAATCACATGATGACATTTTGATCTTTGGGAATGCAGAGACACAAAATTCCACAACTCCAGGTATCTTAACAGAATACATTACATTACAATTACATCACCTATATTCCTCATGGTTGGCCAACCTTTTTTGTTTCTTTTTCCTATAGTCATGTGATGTTGTCACGTGATTGCAATATCATTGTATTTAATGGCACCTGTGTGTCCTGTTCCACCATTATGCTCTGACCAAGACCATCCTGCTGATCGAAACACGTTGGAGTCGCTCCATGTAATAAAGGACTTTTAATATATTCAGTCGGTGTGCCTCGGGTTTGTACCTCGCCTACTTTTATATTTTTCAATAAGGGCAACATTCTGTTAAGATTTAGTTTAATCCTTGTGGAGCACCAATACTGCTACTTTTGACTTTTTTATGACCCAGTAAAGCGCTCTGTCTCTTTTCTTCATCTGACATCTGAGCAAGTATGTATTTGATGAGGTAACAGCAAGCATGGCTGAAAGCTCACAATAGTAAATGTTGTATAATATAATATAGGACCTTTAAGCAGGTATCAAGCTAATGTAAACATAATATGAAAAGTCTTCATAAAAATGCTAAAACAGTTGAAAGATGCACAATGTAACTTCTAAGGAATTCTTGAATTCTTGCATTTGCAGGCTCACTGCTCCAGAAATCTGACCATTAACCTGTCTCCACTGTGATTACAAAGTCTATTTCCAAACAGTGGTATATTCAAAGCAAATATCTCCATGGAATCAAGCACATGGCAGATGCTGCACCAGAAAAGTCAAACGGTGCACCTTTAAGCACTTCCATTTGTGTCGCCCTTCACCTTTGGCTCTTCCCAAACCACAAAGCTGCTCTGTGATTTGTCTGAACCAGCAGAATCAGGCAAGATGGATTCTCATGATTTTGATTCTGCGCAAGGTTAGATATGATCCATTTATGGACCTGGAACCATATATTTAACCAATTGTATTTTTTATTTGTACAATTTCTTGCAGCTTTGGGGTATTTTCGTTGTAATATAATAAGATTTGAACTGCAGAGAGTTGAATAAGCCGCTTCTATGGCAAATTATTTGATGCAGCTCAGACCTTTTAATGTGACTGTCGATTAAAAATGTCCATTATTCTGCTTTAGTTTTTGTGCCAGTTGTAGTAGTTTCAATATGATCGTGGCGCGCTTACCAATTTAAAATCCCTTTTTATCATTCACATGGTCTAAAATCTAGACACTAAAGGCTGCGTTCACATCATATCAAAAACTGGGACTAAACAAGGAGTAAACCCGGAACTAAACCAAGACTAAGACAGGACCAAACCAAAGTATCGTACCAGGACTGAACAGCGATCGAACCAGCACCAAATCCTGACAAGTGGAAGTGTGCAGAATGCCATGTGTGCACCATTACTGTTACTACTTCCTTCTAGTACATTAATCTTTTGAGTAGGATCCACTCAGCTTTCCCAAGTATTCCAGCTAAACAAACACTTAGCGTCCATTAGATTCGCCACCTGTCTACAGAATTCTCCACCTGCTCTTACTTTCATACAAGCCCCAAATCACACAAAGCTTCAAAAATCAATGCTAGAGTAAAATCAAAAATCAATGCTGCTGGTTTAGACGGCCAATATTACACTATTTTCTATGTAGTTTCCTCGTCACAAACAGACCTGGAGTTGTGTTTTGTTTCATTCACACGTTTAACACGCAAATCCTCCAAATTTAGGCTGAGTTCTTCTCTGAAACTAAAAATACTTTGTTCCACCTTCTGATGTCATTGAGTAGAGATACAGAAAGCGCTCTTGTGTGTTTTTAAGCTTCATACATCTTCACCAGAAATATCTAAAGTTTCAGGCCTGGGTTTGCCGAACTCTGAAGCTACAGCTATTGTTTTAGCCTCATTTAAACTATGGTACACAAAAAGATATTGCAGACTTCCCTTCACTGTCTGCCTGTGTGTTTTAGAACTGATTTTAAGATTCTACTGATCACATTTAAAGCTTGTTTAGGTCTTGCACCAAGTTACATTTCAGAACTTTTAACACCGTCTGAGCCTCCCGCAGCTGCAGATCCTCGGTCAGGTCCCTGTGGCTGTTCCAAAGTCCAGGCTCCAAACAAAGGCTGATGAAGCCTTTTCAGTCTGGATGCCTCGGCTTTGGAACAACCTGTCTGAGGAGACATGGCTCGCGCCAGCCAGAATCATCTTTTAAATCACTTCTTAAAACTCATTTTTATGGGTTGGCCTTCCTTTAACTGTTTTTTGCTTGATTTTATTCCTTATTTCTTTTTATTCTATTTCTTTTTATTTATTGATTATAATTTATTGGATTCTTTGCATCATTGTCTGAAAATATTTTAAAAAGGCAACAAATTATGATTATTCTGCTTCAGTTGATGCAAAAAATTCAGTTAACTTTAAACTACCACTTGATGACATCACAAGGGCGAACAGAGCATTTTGAGATTTGGTGACGCAGACAAGATTACTTATATGTGTGCAAAGGCTGCACTACCATTGGGTAAAAGTAGGTGGCTGCCGAGGGCCCCCAAACCTGGATGGGCCCCCATCCAATTGCCCTCAGTGCCACTAAGGCTGGGGCCTCAGAGCAAAAACAATAATCATAAAAAAACTAATAATAATCACATGTAATGGATGTAAACAAAAATGTAATTGTACTAGCAAAAAAAAATAAAACTACTACTTACTAATTCTAATTATCTAGTAGGCGACCAAAATAATATGACATCCACCATAATTAAAAATAAATAATTAAATAGAGATGTGCCTGTCTCAAGAACAATGGGGAAAACCAGACAATAAATGTATATAAAATGATTATATTATAGTGAGGGCCTCAAATTCAAGTTCACCTAGGGGCCCCAAATTGCTAACTCCACCACTGTATGTGTGAATTAAATGAAACACAACTCCAGGTCTGTTTTCGAGGCGATAACGACATTCTAACACGGCTTAAAACTCACAAGAGTCAATTTTGCGGAACATAGGACCTTTCAAGTCAATAATGAATGTGTCAATTAATTCAATTGACCAGTGGCACTCACTTTTTCTTGGAGGGTCCCTTGATGGTTGAGGGCAGCTGGGAGGGGCCGCCCTTTTCCACCGAGTTACCGCGGCGACAGCTCTGCTCTCCGGAGGCGGGGGAGGACGAATCAGATTGGACGGCCTCGCAGACCACCTGGAAGCCCTAAGGAAAAGAGAAAGAGAGAGAGCGATCAATAGAAAAGATATAAGCAATAAAATAATGGGATGAACAAAAAATAAAAATAAATCACAAATAAATAAAAATTCTGCACATTTTAAACAGTCCAGGAATATTAATTGTTGAAAAAAGAACTGCTAAACTACACTGAAGAAAATTAAATGTTGAAATTTAAGGAAACGACTTGATCCATTTTATCATTTTCCATAACTTTACTTGAAATGTTCCACAATATGGCGTCAAACTGATATATGTCCTTGGAGACAATCTGGTAGCATCACCAGGCCAAGTTACAGTTCAGATCTGTGGAGAGGCGACCCTGCTCACATTAACAATCCATGTTTTTAATGTCATTTTAAACAAAGAAAACCAACCATAAGTAAACAATTGCGCGATAGATTATGTTTAATGCCATATTGGGAAAAAAAACATCACCATGGAAACAAGCAAGTGGTCCATCCCATCCAAAAAGGTTTCATAGTGCTGGCTGCCGAGTCTTTTAAGGGGTTCCCCAACACGTGTCTCCACAAATGAGTCCAAAATATTGAGTCAAGCGTCTTTATTGGCCCCTGTAGCCATAATCCATATTTAATCAAAATAAACAGAATTCCGGTAAGAAATATGGGAAGAAACTGTGTACCTCGTGACCTAGCAGCACCTGGGGCACCTTTTCTGACCCTTCTATAGAGAAACAGGCAAATGCACATAAAGCCCATAGCGCCTCCTTCTGCCTAGGAGGTGAAATGCATTTTGGCTCCAACAGCACCTTTTCTTTTCTTTTCTTGCTTTTCAGAACATGTTTGTAGAGCCTTGTAACCCTTCCAGACTGATGGAATGCCTGAGAATATGTTTTAAACAACCACGCACAACTTTCCAACTATAAAAAGATAAAAACTTACTTTTTTGTCCCTTGAAAAGCTGAGAAAAGTGGCTTTCTGAGCATATTTCCAGCATTATCCTACGTCACACACACGCTGCATGATCATGTAGGAAAAACGAGTGTCCAACAGGAGCTTTGTTTTCTGCCAAACTCACGCCCTTCATCCATTTTGATTGGTCCAAACTTTGCCAAAGAGTGAAGTGAGTCAAAATGGTCGACTGCTCTGAGCGTCTGTGTTTGTAACAATTGAAAAAGCCGCTCTAAGTGCAGATATTTCTCTAATAAATGGGAAATTATGCATCTTGGTCTGTGTAATTGCACAACCCTTGCTGTTTTTTTATTTGAAAGGTTTATTTCAGCCCAAATGTACAAATTCCAAATGTAATAAACCCCATGGAAATGCAGGAAGTGATGTGGCTCTGAGTCCTGGACCTGACACCAGCTGTTTCCATGACTGACCCCAGGAAAGTCATGGGGCCATTGCACTTTTTTTTTGTTTTGAGGCAATAAGGATATTTTGAGTTTACTTACACACTTGATATTTTGCACTTTTGTACCTAAGGCCCTAAATTAAGCATTTTTTTAAAGTCCAAAAAGTTAGTTTTTTTTTTTTTTTGTATTTCTTGTCCTGTAGCTTTTATTACAGCCATAGACACAACTACAGCAGCAGATTGTGAAATAACAGGTTGTACCGTATTTTCCACACTATAGGGCACACTTAAAAGCCTTTAATTTCATCCAAAAACAACTGCGCGTCTTATAATCCAGAGCGCCTTATATATGAATTTATTTGTGTGTCTTAGTACGACTTTAGTAAACTACAAAGCTGCACCACCTGCAGTGTTACAGCCTCCGTAGTCAGGAGCATCAGGAGTAATACATATTGTGATTCCTTTTAATATCAAAATCCCACACGCTTATAACGCCCACTTTAAACTCAAGGCTGTTCTAAAGTGAAAGTGCGAGCTGTGTGGGAGCAGTGGATGAGAGAAGGAGAACACACATTCACCAAGACAGGGAGACAGCGCCGAGCCACTTACGCCACGATCTGCCAACGGATCGTGGACGCCTGGGCTAAGGATCAGTATCAACTGTGGTCCGAGCTTTCACCAAGACCAGAATCATCACTGAACTGTCAGAGAACAGTAACCACACTGACTCGGATAATGACGAGAGGGATGTGGACGTGTGGACGCTGGAGTCACCCAACTGTTTGAACAATTATGAGTTATTGTGAATACACGAACAATTTAGTGTCTCAGACAGGATTTTTTTACGCGTTACAATTGAACAAAGTTGAGTTATTGTGAAAGTGTTAAATAAAGTTTGACTGACTTATCTAACTGTTGTGTTTCGTTTAATGCACCTTATAGCCCGGTGTGGTTTATATGTGAAAAAAGTTAGAAAGCAAACCATTCAATGCGCCTTATAATCCAGAGCGCTCTATAGTGCAGAAAATACATTATATAACACTTTATCAGGGGGTAAAATTGGGAGTTTTAATAGGAGAGAGTTAAAAATCCTTGCCCTTAGGTCTTGAAGGTTTAAAGTACAGGGACAGCAAATTTTTACACAGAACAAGACCCCATGGACACACAGGGAGGGCATCTGATGCAAAGTGACATTTCAGAACATGTTTGTAGAGATCTGAACTACAGAGCTAACAGCTTTTACACAGAATAAAACGTCATGGAGACATTTTGTAGTTGATTTTGTCTTTTTTTGGAAGACATTATACCACTTAATATATACTATTATGACTGCAGCCTTGGGGACTTGTTAATTTTAACCATTAAAATGTATGTGGCTGCCCTAGCAACCTGCTGAACATCCTGATAATTAAAGCCTGAGAGGCGGGATGGAGCGCTTCCTCCATGACCCAGGCTAACCGCACTAATGCTCCCGGATGGCCGACGCTAATGAATATAACCAGCCATGGCCTCGTGGGGATATTATCAAGAGGGAGGGGGAAGGGCATCTGACACAGTCCCAACATGGCGCCTTTAACTATCAAGGGAGAGTCTGCAGACGGGAAGACGAGCGTGAAAAAGAGGAAGAGGGAGCCTACCATGGGAGCAGGGTTGCCAGATCCGTGAGGGCTGCACTGGTTGTTGATCGGGGAGTTCCTCTTGGCTGGAACAGAACAAAACAAAACAGATGATGACATGTTTCCATTTATTAGGAGGTGTAGGCGAGGTTAGAACGTTGAAGGATGAGCTGGAATAACGCAGATGTTTTGAGCTGGTGTCTTTGTTATTGACCGGATTGACCACATGAAGCAAAAGTTGATCTCTGAGACAAACAAGACAGACTTTTCAGTTTCAGAAAACAGGTTTCGAGTCAAGTTAGAAAACTCAGAGTTAGTTCATCTTGAGTTTAATAGATGATCCACCATGGAAACGCTAAACCAAAGGAGGCTGGCATCATAGACAAACAGGTCATAAGACAGTGGACCGTGCTTTGGGTAAATAATTTATTTTATTTTTGTTTATTTATTACATTCATAAAGCATAAAAAGACATCGACAGTGTCACAACATCAGACATACAAGAAATGAATGAAAAGGAGCAGAAAGAAGAAAAATCTTATGTTATCTGCCCTGTTATCTGAAATAATTTGTTCATTAACGATTTTCAAGCCAGATTTTGTGAACTGAAGTGAACTGTCCAATCAAATCTCTTTCTCAGGAGAAACCTCTAGTTAGTTAGGCCCTTTGGTTGACTCTGACTGGCCCATTTAAGCTCATTTGGAATTACAAGATAAACATATTTTATCATTTGACCTCATGCATGGACTAAAGCTGCATTGCTTTTATTTTAGAGGTGTTTTTTTAAATGACATTTTTTGTAAGGCAGTCTCACTTTTTCATTGTTTTGTCAGAACATAAACTCTTCCCAGTCTGAGCAGTTCATCAAAACAATGATATTTACAGCTTTTTATAAAGAAACACAATTAATATTATGCAGAAATGAGTGAAGCATTTTGGCCTTCCACAGTATTTTCTGTTTCTCATGTTGCCCCAAGGAAAAAAAATAATGATCTAAACCATCTTTACGAAACAAAAAAGCCAGTTTCACACATGACAATGTTCTCCAACTTAAAGTTTTTAAAAAGTCTTGCTTTGTAAAACAGTACCTTTCTCTGACAAAAACAAAAATTTAAAAGGATTTATTTACAATACTAAAGCAAAAGCAAAATGTTCTAGTAACGTCACTCAGATCTGAGAGCATTTTAAATAACACGCTTCAGTGCACATTAAAGAATAATGAAGTTACTTTTTATACTTTATACTCATTGTAGATAGAGCTATGGGCTAGGGCTGTGCAAAAACACTGAAATATCAATATACTGTGTCGTTTAATGTGATGATACAGTATTGATATTGTGGGCTGCTGTATCAATATATATCTCCAAGATCTTTTTTTTTTTATATTTCAGTAATTTATTTTGTTACACCTACAGTTTTGTTGTATGGGAAACTCATTTATGCGACACATTTGACATTTTCACTGTTTTGATGAGTTAAATGTTCGTGTTTCATTTAAACTTTGCACAAGAAGTGGTTTAACAAAGACTTTTAGTATCACAGACATGATTTAGACTTTATTTTTATTGAACCATATTGAATCGATTTCAAATATATCGTATTGAATCAAAAGCTCAATGTATGGAGATATGTATTGTATCGTGGTCTGTGTATCGAGGTTCTGTATCGTATCGGCAACTTCTTAATGATACCTAGCGCTAGTATAGGCTGTTTCTGTATCTGTGAGCCTAATAAGAAAACGTATCTGATCATCATCTCCAGTAACTCCATGTTAATAACAACATCTCCTTTGCCATGGATTCTACCTGGACGAGAGTTTTTAGACATTTTACACACGATCATAAGAACAGTGTCGTTGTGTCAGTACCTGTGACGATGTTCCTGAGCGGTTTGATGAGTGTGGTGAAGGCCGGGATGTCCGGCTGTCTGTGCTCCCACATGGGCTGCCAAATCACCAAACCACTGGCCAAACGGAACGTCAGGTCTGACTCCTGCAAAACAAACACGTTTACTTTACTTTTTTACAACGGAGGAGAGAGAGGGAGGAGAGAGGGAGAGAGGAGAGATAGAAGAGAGAAGGAGAGAGGAGAGACAGGGGAGAGAAGGAGAGACAAGAGAGAAGAGAGGAGAGAAGGAGAGAGGGAAAAGGGAGGAGAGATGGAGAGAGGAGAGAGAGAAGAAGAGAGGGAGAAGAAAGGGAGAGGGAGGAGAGGGAGGAGAGAGAGGAGAGAGAGAGAGAGAGGAGAGAGAGAGAGAGGAGAGAGAGGAGAGAGAGGAGGAGAGAGGGAGGAGAGGGAGGAGAGGGAGGGGAGAGAGAGGAGAGAGGAGGGAAGGAGGAGAGAGAGGAGAGAGGGAGGGAGAGGAGGGAGAAGACAGCGGGAGGAGAGAAGGAGAAAGGTGAGAGAGACGAGAGATGGAGGAGAGAAGAGAGAGGAGAGAAGGAGAAAGGTGAGATAGAGGAGAGAGAGAAGAGAGGGAGAAAAGAAGGAGAGAGGGAGAGGAGAGCGGGAGGAGGGAGGAAGAAGAAAGGGAGAGGGAGGAGGGAGGAGAGGAGAGTGGGAGGAGAGAGAGAGGAGAGAAGGAGGGAGGGAGAGAGGGAGAAGAGAAGGAGAGAGGAGAGAGAGGGAGGAGAGAGAAAGAGAGGGAGGAGAGAAGGAGGGGGGAGAGATGGAGGAGAGGGAAGGAAGGCGGAGAGAGGGAGGGAGAAAGGGACGGAGGAGAGAGCGAGGGAGGAGAAAGAGGAGGCAGGGAGGAGAGAGGAGGGGACAGAGGGTGGAGAGAGGGAGAAAGCGAGGGAGAAAGAGAAAGACAGGGAGCAAGGGACGGAGGAGGAGAGCAGAAAACGGGGGGAAAAGGAGGATGGATTGTGAAGGGAAGAACAAGAGAGAAGGAAAAGTAATTAAATAAAATGGCATTAAGTATTTATCAAGTATCAGAAGACATGGTGTTCTAAAACTCTGTTACACAAACGGTCGGCTCTGCAGTGATGGAGTGTGTGTTTATGATTGGCGTGGAGTCTCTGGAGGATTGTAACTGGACTAAAGTCTTGTAAACACAGATCAATAGTCCCCAGACAGTAGAGTACACGGCTGAAATCTGAGAGACGGGCCTCATTTGTAAAGTACTCTGTTTGGGTAGACTGGCTATGAGCTGGAGTAGTGCGGACAGAAGTGCTACTGGCAAAAAATACATCTTAATAGTTGAAAAGTTTGAAAAACAGTACAAAAACATAATGATGACAATAGCTATGATTTTATTAAGTTATTACAACAATTTTGGGACCAAAAATAATCTCATTAGGCACAGTAGTTACTCTTAATATTTGAATATTTTCCAAACTTCTACAGGAAATTTTATGTGACATTTCTAGAACATTTGTGGGCTTTAACAGTTGAGCTCAGTTGAAGTGTTTTATTCACATTACTAATAGATTACTTAATACTGGGAACCCAAGGAGTGAAGCAATGTGAATAAGACTGGAAAAAAGTCTAGTTTAAGAGAGACCATTTTTTCATATCTCAAAAATACAATACTTTTTATATTATTTAGAGATAGGGCTGTCGTGGTTAGGGAATTTCTCCTGCGGTGCGGTATAGCGGCTCAACAGTGTGGTGTGTGATGATATCGCACCCCCTCCCCCACCCCCCATCCCCCAGAGTTATAATATTTCCAGTGGCACTCAAAACTCTCTCTGATGATGCACGTGTTGTGCAGATGCACATGTACCTTGGTTGTCGTGTGGATATAGTGTGTGTAGTGTGGGAGAAGTAACATTTGGCTTTGGAACAAGTGCCACTGCATCTCTCCAGCTCTCACTGTGGCAGCTCGGGTCAGAGTCCTGGACCAGGTCAGGTCAGAGTCCTGGACCAGGTCGGGTACCCGCGGACTTAAGAGAGAAAAAACCACGAGCACGAGCACGCGGAGCAAGTATCTACAAAGCGCGATTGGGTGACTGCTGCATTTAACTCCATGCGGCGCGGAGATCTGCACCGGTCCTTTCACCTGCAGTCACCCGATGGTCTACACGGGCGCACCTTAGTCCTGGGTTAGTCCTGGGTTATCACGGCCACGGGTGGTAACGGGTGGAATGTTAATGAATCCGGACGGGTCTGGGTCTATAAAAATGGACCCGTGCAGGACTCTGGGTCAGGTCTGTCACGTGCGGTGATCGAGGTGGCCCAACATGCACCGCGGTGGGCCTCTTAGTACCGCGGTGATTCATTTTTGCGGTTATGGCGACAGCTTTATTTATAGATGCCATCCTCTGCATGTACAATGTCAGATTCAAGTCAAATGTATGCTCTTTTTGCTCTAATACAGATAGATAACCCTAACCCTGTAATTAAGACATTAGTGAGGGTGAATAATGTTTAATAAAGTATTTGTTCATTATGAATTAAGTCCTTCTTCATCCTTTGTTAAAGCCACAATATGTAACTTTTTAAATAGTCACAATTTTTAGCGCCTGTCCGCCTTCAAAGCCCTCAAAGCTCTTTACAACAAGGAACCAGTCACACATTCACACACACATTCATACACCAGTGTATGCACACACTGGGGGTGAGGTGGGTTAAGTGTTTTTCCCAAGGACACAACATCAGCATTCATCTGTGGGAGTTGGAATCACACCTCCAACCTGTGGGTCAGTGGATGTGACTGCTCTACCAGTGATGTTAATGTCAAGAGCAGGATTCACACCAAAAACCTTTAGTTCAGAGGAGAAACGCTCAACCAACTGAGCTACTGTCGTCCATAAATAGATGCTGTTTGAGAGGGTTTGTGTTTATTGCACTGAAAACCACAGAAAAACATGTGCCCTTAATGTGAGCGGCTTATTTGTCCTGGGGGAGATCTCCTCCTGCTCGTTTCCATGGAAATGTTGTTCTTTTGACCAAAATATTCCACTGTATGCGATAAAATTCATCTATCTCCATGGAGAATGTTTCAAGGTATGTTTATTATTTCCACCATGAAATCATGCAGGTGACATACCACCCTCAGAACGTTACATACTGTAGCTTTAAGGCTGTAAATAGTGTCGTTATTATGAAGTGTTACCAAAAAGTCATTACTGGTCATTGGACGTGAAGAATTTTTTTTTTTGTTAAGACAGGGGTTATGTTTAGAGTTAGAAAAGTGTTTTGGGGTTGTTAACATGTTATCAGAAGTAACTTTAAAAAGCAAATTTGTCACCTACAAGCCTTATCTCAATAGATACCAATAAAAATTAAATAAAAAATATTGATATTTTGCATGTTTGGTGTCGTCATCATTCTCCAGGAGTGTGATACTAACTATGGGCACTGCTCTGTCTAAGGCTTTGTTAGACTTTGATTTGGAAGTTGTTTTAACACAATTTGGCCAGGAAAAAATAATTTAGTTGGAATTACAACAGATGAGCTGCTTTGTGATGTTAAACAAGCTCCTCACACATAAAATTATAGTTCAAAGCCAACACTTTTTCAGTTAGTCACTCTCACTTTTAGCTGAAAATCAAACAGGATTAAACAGGATCATCAACACTCATATTGATCACAAGCTCATGTGTCAATGTGTTGTTTAAATCCATCCTAACACTTTTTTGACAGCGTTTGCTAATGTGTCCTCCATGGCACTAACTGCTGAACATTCCACCTTAGAGATACATGTAGAACACCCCCAGCAGAATGTCACTGCAAAATAGAACTAAACTGATTTTTTGTTTCATACCTTGATGCGGTGGATGAGAGGAGCAAACAGGAACACAAACAACTCCACAGTGGCCATGCTCTTCTGGAACAGTTTGGTCCGAGTCTGTTCGTCGTCCTCCAGGAGAGAGCCGCCGTACTGGGCTCCGGACCCCCCCAGAGCCGACCCGGAGCCCGACCCAGAGCCGGGGGGTCCGGCCTGGTTCCCCGCGGGCTGGAGGTACCCCCCGCCGCTGCCGCTGCCGCCCCCTACGGGCTGAAGGAAGGCCCCGCCCCCGTGACCCAGGCCGGGCTCCTGGGCGCACTCCTGCGGCGCGTCCAGTAACATCCAGTGTAACGTGTGCAAAAGCTTGGTCTCCGCCACGCCCAGTTTGTCCTGGTGCCCTGTGATACAACAGAGGATTTAGAATTTTGATACTGACATTTTAGTCACTTTTATGTTGTATCCAAGTAGTACTAGTAGTACCTAGTAGTAGTCAGTAGTAGTAGTAGTAGTAGTAGTAGTAGTAGTAGTAGTAGTAGTAGTAGTAGTAGTAGTAGTAGTAGTCGGTAGTAGTAGTAGTAGTAGTAGTAGTAGTAGTAGTAGTAGTAGTAGTAGTAGTAGTAGTAGTAGTAGTAGTAGTAGTAGTAGTAGTAGTAGTAGTAGTAGTAGTAGTAGTAGTAGTAGTAGTAGTAGTAGTAGTAGTAGTAGTAGTAGTAGTAGTAGTAGTAGTAGTAGTAGTAGTAGTAGTAGTAGTAGTAGTAGTAGTAGTAGTAGTAGTAGTAGTAGTAGTAGTAGTAGTAGTAGTAGTAGTAGTAGTAGTAGTAGTAGTAGTAGTAGTAGTAGTAGTAGTAGTAGTAGTAGTAGTAGTAGTAGTAGTAGTAGTAGTAGTAGTAGTAGTAGTAGTAGTAGTAGTAGTAGTAGTAGTAGTAGTAGTAGTAGTGGTAGTAGTAGTAGTAGTAGTAGTAGTAGTAGTAGTAGTAGTAGTAGTAGTAGTAGTAGTAGTAGTAGTAGTAGTAGTAGTAGTAGTAGTAGTAGTAGTAGTAGTAGTAGTAGTAGTAGTAGTAGTAGTAGTAGTAGTAGTAGTAGTAGTAGTAGTAGTAGTAGTGGTAGTAGTAGTAGTAGTAGTAGTAGTAGTAGTAGTAGTAGTAGTAGTAGTAGTAGTAGTAGTAGTAGTAGTAGTAGTAGTAGTAGTAGTAGTAGTAGTAGTAGTAGTAGTAGTAGTAGTGGTAGTAGTAGTAGTAGTAGTAGTAGTAGTAGTAGTAGTAGTAGTAGTGGTAGTAGTAGTAGTAGTAGTAGTAGTAGTAGTAGTAGTAGTAGTAGTAGTAGTAGTAGTAGTAGTAGTAGTAGTAGTAGTAGTAGTAGTAGTAGTAGTAGTAGTAGTAGTAGTAGTAGTAGTAGTAGTAGTAGTAGTAGTAGTAGTAGTAGTAGTAGTAGTAGTAGTAGTAGTAGTAGTAGTAGTAGTAGTAGTAGTAGTAGTAGTAGTAGTAGTAGTAGTAGTAGTAGTAGTAGTAGTAGTAGTAGTAGTAGTAGTAGTAGTAGTAGTAGTAGTAGTAGTAGTAGTAGTAGTAGTAGTAGTAGTAGTAGTAGTAGTAGTAGTAGTAGTAGTAGTAGTAGTAGTAGTAGTAGTAGTAGTAGTAGTAGTAGTAGTAGTAGTAGTAGTAGTAGTAGTAGTAGTAGTAGTAGTAGTAGTAGTAGTAGTAGTAGTAGTAGTAGTAGTAGTAGTAGTAGTAGTAGTAGTAGTAGTAGTAGTAGTAGTTAAGCTACTCAAAAATACATTCAGTTAACATCAAATATTTAAATATAAAAATAAATCATATATTACAAAAAAACATCTACATCAATCTTTTTTAATGAATGAAAACAATTCTTTTCTTTTCTTACAGGTAAGGTTTGTGGAGAGGTGATCCTACTCATGATAACAATAAGTAAATATTAATAGAACAAAAATAGGACATTATGCTAGATATAATATTTTAAAGTCATACTGTGGAGCATTCCTAGCAAAGCATTCATTATTTATACCAACAAACTTATTTATTTATACTAACTTTTTTAAAGACAATACAATGACGTGTATTTACCTTGTTGACATGTTTCGGCGACTGCATCTGCAGAACTGTCCTCGGTGTTGGTGGTGACGTGTGTCGTATATCAGCTGTTGTTACTTCCTGTAGGCGTGGTCAGCCTGATGGACCTGCCTGCTCAGACTGACCACGCCTCCTGTCACCCGGTGTTCTCTGGAGGAGGGTGCCCCACGTATGTGAAAGGAGGAACGCTCCGTTCATGCTGTCCGAGTGTCCGTGTCTTGTTTCTCCTCCCTGATCCAGCATTTGAACTCATTGTTTTCCGATCCAATGACCCGAGCCCTGTCCCAATCCAGAATGTGCTTCTTTCTTTTACAGTGCTCTGATAAGGGGAATTTTAGATTTTCCTGTCCTGCTTTGTCGTTTTGTGTTCTGGTGAGTCTCCCTGATATGTTTTTGTGTTTGGGGCCTCCAGAGAACACAGGGCGAGGGGAGGTGTGGTCAGTCTGAGTGACCTGCCAGGTTCATCAGGCTAACAACAGCTGATATACAACAAGTCCCCACCAACACTGGGGACAGTTCTGAAGATCTAGCAGCAGCAGCAGCCGAAACATGTCAACATGGTAAATACATTTTACTGTATTGTCTTTAAAAGAAGAAGTTAGAGCACATAAAAAGACCAAATTAACTTATTTGGTTTAATAATTAATCATGCTGTGTTCCAGGTAACTGGGAGCTCGAATATTTCCCAGATAAACACTCTGAGTTCTGACCTCAGAGCTTCAGCTGGATGGAAGTGGGAAATATCCCAGTTATCAGTTGCCTAGAACACATTAATATTGCCCATTAAAGACGGTGACTAAACTAAAAGTTACACCATAAATTCTGAGAGAATGAGAGTGTAGACATTTTACTATATACATTAAATGACTTGTATCATGCTATATACACCTCTATGTTATAATGTTGTTTGTTCACACCAGGAGTTGTGTTTTGTTTCATTCACAAACCCTGCATATTTAGGCTGAGTAATACAGGACGTGCCCCACTGTGTTTTTAAACTCCGTACACACTCACTAGAATCTTCTGGATGATTTTAGTCCAGAATTGCCAATCTCTACTGAACAAAAGGTAAAGGGTAACTTGTGCCCTGTGACAGCTTTGGAGATACAGACAGACTAATAATGCAGGTTTACTCAAACATGTGTGAATAAAACAAAACCATGCTCCAGGTCTGTGTTTGATAACAGCATTATAACATGGCTTTAAGAAGGGGAATATGTCCAGTGCATTTGACCCGTATCTCCAGATCTCACCCAGCTTGTTCCTGTTGGACAGCAGGATGGCGGTGCAGTGGAGCACGTGGGGCAGCGCCGCCTGCACCAGCTCCCAGCGAGAGATGCTCTGGATGGCCTCAGAGAGAGCCGGAGACAGGCCGTGGAGCTTATGTTCCACCAGCACGCGCTCAAACGACTGAAGAGACGCACGAGAGAGAGGAGGGAGGAGAGAGGAGGGAGGTCAGCCAAATACCCCACAACTGAAGAGTCTTTGTATCTGAGTGTCTGACCGTCCTACATGGCCCTGAGAGTATGATGGGTACTACTCACTTACATTTAGTTACATTTACTCAGTTACTTTTACATGACTTTTCTGATGAAATTTAACTTTTCTGACACGATACTTTTACTTCTAATTCTGTCATTTAATTTGAAGTAAAAGCACACTTACTAAATAATATATTGTACAGTGTAACAGTACTTTTACTTGAGTACTCTATTGTACAGTGTAACAGTGCTCGTACTTGAGTACTCTATTGTACTGTGTAACAGTGCTCGTACTTGAGTACTCTATTGTACAGTGTAACAGTACTCTTACTTGAGTAAAAGTTGGGGTTACTCTTCCCACTGAGTCTATAGTGACAAAAGCTTTACTCTAACAACATTAAGGTAACTGTTTCATGTTTATTATCTCAAGATATTTATGTATATTATATTTATTTGATGAGTGTCTGTTGTGTTATTTTAAATCTATATCTGTGCATTATTTACTGTTGTGTCCGTCTGATTACATTAAAGAACTGTAGGTAAAATTTAGATTTTCAATTCCATAAACATGACATATAATGAGTCCCCAGACAAAGGTTCAAATCAAATACAGTTGTGATAATAACTGTAATCCTGATGTAAGCTTTAAACCTAAACCCCAGCACCAGTCATGAGTCAGTGCTAGTGCAGCCTCTGCAGCTCAGACAGGGAATTCTGGAGGTTCTGAGCTTTTACATGAGGCCTGAACATAAACTGAGAATGAGACAAACTTGGATGTGTCTCTGTCTGCAGGTTAAAGCTCTGGTGATACAGGTACTAGCTGTTTTTAAACTGTAAGTGCACAGGCTAAGTACAGATCCTTTAACTCAAAAGTCTGACACATTTTACTCCCAAATGGTTCAAATTGTAGTTTTTCAAATATCTGTTTTACTCTTACTTGTGTAATTACTCCAGTCACTAATTTGTACTTACACTTGAGTAATGTATATATATATTTTTAAGCACCATTACTCTTACTTGAGTAGGGGAAACGGGGTTGGCTGTCACATTTCTTACATTTATCTGAATAGCTCGAAAAGGTTTATCTTAAAAATCCCATTTCAACACAAGAAACAAGATTAAAGTCTCACATAACAAAATGTGCCTTAAGTGACAACCAGCCCCAGCTGCACTTTTTAGTACAGCCTATTTAAAAATGTGTCAGTTGTAGCTCTTACTTTTCCCTTTTTAGTGGTACACGTGATTAAGCTTTGAACATCTGAAAACTTATGTGAAATTTGCAAGTTTTTAAACATTTTAGTCCATCTTTTTTGCATCCTTCACACGCAGAGTGACAACCAAACCATGTGACAACCAATCCCGTTCTCCAGTACACATTCTGTCCACTCTGTCCATGTGCTTTTGCTTTTGAGGCACGTCATTACGAATATGAGACCGTAAAAAAAAACGCACGGTCCGGATAATACGCGTAACAACCGTGCCAGGGGAAACTCATTTGTTAATGTGCGGAGCAGTTCAGGTGCATAAACAGATTACACACAGACAGAGCTCGTTCGTTACAAAGATTATGCAAAATAACTTACCACGCACGATGCTTCATACTGTTTGCCCAACTTCGGTCGCAGAAACGCGCTACGGAAAGAAAAAAACGACACACAATTATGCAAATGAGCGGCGTAGGAAACGGAATGACCTCTGGCAATGTTAAACCCCAAATTTCAGCAAAATAAAATCATTTACGTGTCAAAATCACAACGTAAACTCGAGATTACGTCAACATTTTGGCATTTCATTCGGTGTCACTGTTTGGATTTTACGTGACATGATAAATCCAGACTCGACGTACAGATTGTCAACACGATTCCACGTATTCCAGACGCAACATCTGCTCACATGTACGCGTACCGACAACGACACGTCAAACATCGGTGCGTTATGTCAAACCGCCGTCGTGTCATCCGGCTTTTCCCGTTCAGACACCTCCACGAACCCACCTGTTATCCGTCTCCCCTCGCGCACACACACGTACGCGGTTCGTAGGTGCACAGTCCCCCCCGCGCGTACGTACCTGGTCTGCCGCCATAGGAACGTCTGGATGGGGAACGGTACGCCTTTCCCGCACTCTGGCTCGCCATCGTCCAGGCTTTTGCGTTTCACCATTTTTTTTTTTTTTTTTTACGCCAGGTACGGCACGGCACGGTCCTCCTCACCGCCGCATGCTCTCACGCTCCCCTCTGCGTAAAATGGCTGCAAGTGTCGGTGTCGCTGGATGGATGGATCGGCTCGGCTCTGCGCGGCGGAGGAGGGAGAGCAGCGGAGCCCCGGGTGTCGCGTACGTCGTGTGAGAAGAGGAGGGGAGGAGGATGAAGAGGAGGAGGAGGTACGGATTTCGGTTCCTCCCTTTGACACTGGGCAGCGACAGTTGATTATCAGCGTTTATCGGCGCGGGGGGAACGCAATGCGCAGCTGCACCAGATGTTTGGCTCATTTGCATTCACGCGCGCAAACGTACAACTCCGAGCACCACCACCACCTCCTCCACCTCCACCGGACACGTCGGTCTCCGGAGGCTCATCTCCCCCGAGCAGCATCAACAGGTAGTCGGATAAGCAGCGTGGACAGGTGGACCTACATCCTGTCTGCGAGCAACAAGCATTTGGTCACGTAGTTTCAGTAATATTCTGGATTTAAAGGTGCACTGTGCAACTTTTCTGGCGGAAGTAGACAGTATGTTATCACTTTGCCTGAAATGTTCCATAGTGTACAGCACTAAAAGCAAAAAATCTGAAGTCAACAACTTGACAACTAGTTACTGTAACAAAAAAAAAGTAATGCCAAAAATATTGACCTCTGACCTTTACTTGTCAGTTCCTGTACTCTTCCTTTTGTATATTTTGTATTTTGAACCCAGGGGTGGTTTTGCATTTGTACAACTCTTATATAAATAGTCATATTTAAAGTACAATTTAGTTTAAGTGTAGTTAATATTAACTGAGATTCAGGTGCAGGACCATGCCTCAATGTTTCAGTGTTATTCTGGTTTTAAAGGCGCACTGTGCAACTTTTCTGGCGGATGTATACAGTATGTTATCGCTTTGCTTGAAATGTTCCATAGTATACTGCACTAAAAACAAAAAAAATTTAAGTCTCCAGAGTGTGAAATTGATAAAAATGACTTCAAAGTTTCTGTTTTGTCCAGACGAAAGTATAATAAATATTTAAAGATCCCATGATTTGACAACTAGTTACTATAACGAAAAAATATTTGTAATGCGAAAAATATTGACCTCTGACCCTTATTTGTCAGTTCCTGTACTCTTCCTTTTGTATCATGAGTCCAGGGGTGGTCCTAGGGGGGAGGCCACGGGGCACCCTCCCCGGTCCTCACTTCTTTTTTTTTTCCACATTTGTACGAATCTTATATAAATTCTCATATTTATAGTACAACAGTATAACAAGTATAACAGTATGTTATCGCTTTGCCTGAAATGTTCCGTAGTATGCTGCACTAAAAGCAAAAAATCTTAAGTCTCCAGAGTGTGAAACTGAGAAAAATGACTTCAAAGTTTCTGTTTTGTCCAGACAAAAGTATAATAATTAGGGCTCCCAAGATTTGACAACTAGTTGCTCTAATGAAGATAATGCAAAAAATATTGTCCTTTGACCCTTATTTGTCAGTTCCTGCACTTTTCCTTTTGTATCGTGAGTCCAGAGGTGGTCCTAGGGGGGGGCCAACGGGGCACCCTCCCCCCAGTCCTCTTTTTTTTTTTTTTCCGCATTTGTACGACTCTTATATACATACTCATATTTAAAGTACAATTTAGTTTAAAGGGCCCATCTCATGTAAAATCAACTTTTCAGAGCTTTCTACCTTCTAAGACTGAAGTGTGGGCCTTGTATATGTCGCCGAAGTGGTTTTTAGATTGATTTGGCGTTTTTTTTTGTTTTTTTTTTTTTATAAATTGCAGCTTATTTCTGCCACCCTCCCACATGACAACGAACTAAAGCTGCTACAACGATGGCGCGGCAGATACACCTATGACGCGTTTTGATGTAGCAGAAGGCGCTTTGCTTCATATAAATTGTGAAAATTGAAGCTAATTTTGGTGCTTTGGATAAAAGACTTGAAATGACTTGGAGTTCAAAGCAGATGACTTGGACTCGACTTGGACTTGCCTGTATTTGACTTAGGACTGCAGGTCAAAGACTTGAGACTTGAACAAAACAACGACTTGGTCCCACTTCTGATACAGTATACCAGAATAGTACAAGTATTACCTGTACTACACTGGATGAAGGTCAGCTGACAAACCATCGTACGTAATAAATGATTTTTAAAAAGTGATAAAGTGTGTGTGAGTTTTCTTTGTCAGTGAAGTTCCTGTCCTCTTCTGCACCTGTCACTTCCTCAGGTGCACACAGTTCTTCTCGTACTTTCTTTTTTCCATTATTTCATCTTCAGTATGTTTAGAAACACGATCAAGGTTTTATATTTAATGTGCTTTTTTTTTTTTTTTTTAGTTTTTTTCAGGTTGAGCGATTCACTCCCAAAGAGAAGTCATTTTGCTTCATGGAATCTGCTGCACACATATGTAATCTTTAGCTCTCCATAAGCAGGATTTCTCTTTCAATTTTTGGTAATAAGTCCATATTTGTTTGCCAGTTGGTGAAATTTTTCCAAATTTTACACTGAAGGCTGCGCAGTGCGAGCAGATTCCAAGACGGAAAATGACTTTTCTTTGGGAGCGAACAACAAAAAACACTCTTTCTTTAGACAATCGACTTTGATTTTCAACATTAAATCATAGTGCTTTCTTTTCTATTCACACGTGGTCTTATATGTGTGTAATCCTCCGCTCTGGGTCGCTGAAAGTTTGTAAAAAAGCGCTTATAAACTCATCGTGGTGAATAATTACGATGCTCTGAATGCAGAAGGTCAGTCAGGAAGAACTGTTTTTTTTGTTTCTTTCACATTTTAGAATGGTTAAAGGTCAGGTACAGCGCCTTTAAGATTGTAGATATTTTCATAAACTTTTTTACTATTAAAACAAAACAAAAAAGTGAAAAAAGAGTTCTCGAGACAGAATCCCTTTTTATTTTCTTTATTGATTTGTGGTCTTCCTGTAGGAGCATTTGTCGTCAGTATGTCTCAAACATCTACATGGTCCTTTAAATACACATACACAGGCAAAAGAGGAGGAAGAGAAGAGAGAGAGAGGGAGAAAAGAAGGGGGGAGGTGGAGGAGGAAGAGAGAATTGGGAAGGGAGTGGAGGAAGATTTGCGGGAAGAAGGGAGAAAGGGGGAGATGAGAGAAAACAAAAGTGAGTAAGAGAGAGAGGAGAAGACGAGGAAGAAGAGATGGGGTAGAGGGAGAGAGAGAAGAAGAGGGGAGGTAAGAAGGGTTGGGAGAAAGAAAATTGTGAGAGGAGTGGAAGAAGAAGTGGAGAGAAAGGGGGAGAAGTGGGAATACAAATGTGAGAAAGGGAGAGATGACGAGGAAGAAGAGTCAGGAGTGAGAGATGGGAGAGAGAGAAGGTAAGAAGGGTTGGGAGAAAGAGAATTGTGAGAAGAGTAGATGAAGAAGAGTGAGGAAGGAGAAAGGCGGAAGAGAGGAGAAAGGGAGGAGAAGACGAAGAAGAAATGGGGTAGAAAGAGATGAGAGGGAGAGAGAGAAGGAAGAGGGGACATAAGAACAATTGGGAAAGAAAGAAAGAATTGTAAGAGAAGCAGAAGAAGAGAGAGAGGAAGGAGAATTGGAGAAGAAAGAAAACTATAAGAGAGGGAAAGGGAGGAGAAGACGAGGTAGAGAGAGATGAGAGGGAGAGAGAGAAGGAAGAGGGGAGGCAAGAAGGGTTGGGAGAAAGAAAACTGAGAGGAGTAGATGAAGAAGAGAGGAAGGAGAAAGGGGGAGAAGAGAGAAAACAAAAGAGAAAGAGAGAAGAAGTAAGAAGGATTGGGAGAAAGAGAAAGAATTGTGAGAGGAAAAAAGAAGACGAGGAGGAAGAGAGAGAAAAGACGGAGAAATAAACGACGAGCCGAAAAGGAGAAAGACGATAAAAAGAGAAAGAGAATGACAAGAGAGAAGGAGGAAGACGAGAGAGAGAAGAAGAGGAGGAGCAGAGGAGGACAAGATCGGAACGTATACATAAAAACACTTGGGTATCTTCGGAGAGCAAAAGTCGAAGGTGAAAAGATTGACAGAGATTGAGTAGCACAATGGAGCAGACATTTTTGTAGTTTTTACCACCATACGAGTCGCTAACATTTGTAGTTCTGACCCTTCTTCACCGCGCCACATCCACACATAGAAATAAAGCTTCGTAATCTTCATTTTTACCAACAGTATTTTTTTTTTTTTTTTTTTTTACCAAACAGTACCAGCAACCACAACTCGACACACGAAAATGCACAGCGGCAGCGGCGGCGGAGTTTCCAATGCCATGCCAGCGATGCGGCGAAGTCCAAGCCTAGAGGAAAGCGATGTAAAAACGAGTAGCCATTTTGTTTTTTTGTCTTTTTGCCCGAAATGAAAGTTATACACTACCCAAAGCTAGCAACAAGTGAACTTTGTAGTGCTAAGAATCCAGTGCAGTAACCAACAAAATTCTACGACAATATATTCAAAAAAGAGAAAAAGGTCGATCGGTTGTTCAAGAGCACGTAAGAACAAATGTGAATGTTTTTGACTTGAAAATAGCCAAACATGCGCAAAAAGTCAGCCATTTTCCCGTGTCCCGTATAGTTAAAGGTCCCATATTATGCGTCATACGAGGTTTATTGACATATTTTGCACTTTTAATCAGGCAAAATTCGTAGCAGCTAAAGTCAAAAGTGAACACTAAAATATCAATGGTCTGTACCTGATTTTTTTAAAAGGCTGCTAAACATCAACATCACTTTTTTCTACTGATTATCTGTAAATGTGTCTAAAACAGAAGTGTATACGTATCCCTGGTCCAGAGTTAACAATTATAAAGCGTTTTTAAGATCTAAAAATAGGTAAAATTCGCTATGAAATCCAACATTTTTGAAAGTTGTAGGTGCCCTGTCAACTGAACATGAGCAGTTTGTGTTTAAAGGGCCCATCTCATGCAAAATATCTCTTTTCACATTGTATCTTCTGCACATAAACAAGCACAATTTGGGTTTTGGAACATCCATTACACAATAGTTATGAAATCTTACTGACTTCTTGGAGGCAGTTACAGACCAGGAACTGTGAAAGGCCAACTACTGCTCATCCCCCCGCCCGTCCTGTGAAAGCACAGGCTCTGCCCTCCAAACGTGACATAGGCAAAGAGCTTTCTGCTAAGTCAAACGCGTCATAGTTGTAGCTGCCTTGTCATCGTTGTAGCAGCTTTAGTTCGTTGTCACATGGGAGGGTGGCAGAAATACGCTGCAATTTGTAAAAAAAAAAAAGTCGAATCAATCTAAAAACTTTGGCGACAAATACAAGGCCCACACATCACTCTTAGAGGGTAGAAAGCTCTGAAAAGTTGATTTTGCATGAGATGGGCCCTTTAACATTGTACTCTAGGAGAAAAATCCTTTCTCAGCCAGAAGGATTTTTTCGTCGTAGTACCAGTGAGTGTCACTACGTCAACTGGAGGCAGCTACAAGCAGCAACACCCTATCCAGTTATTTTAATAGATCCATGCGCTGAACGCTATGGGTGACGTCACACTCGATTAGTCCACTTTTTTTTATACAGTCTACGGCCAGGACATTTGAATTTTCAGGTTGGACTAACGGACTAAGTGTCTTGTCCCAGTACAGATGTATTGTAAAAGCCGTTCCTTAAGCTTTTTTACCATTCGTGAACCAGGAAGTGCGCCGTTACCATGTTAGTTGATAATATCAATACTGTGACACAAAACTGCTCCTAAGCGTTTTTGCAATCTGTGAACTAGAACGTGCGCCGTTACCATGCTAGTTGTTGGTAGTGTTACATTAGGGCAAAACTGCTTCTAATTTTGAAGCGTTTTTTTCTGTCTGAGAACCAAAAAGTGCGCCGTTAGCATGCTAGTTGATGTTAGTAATATCATGATGCAAAACTGCTCCTAATTATAAAGCGTTGTTACCATCCGCGAACCAGAACGTGCGCCGTTATCATGTTACTTGTTGTTGACATAACCGTTAGGGCAAAACCGCTTCTAACGCAACGCCAAACTGCTTCTAATTATAAGGCGTTTTCACTGTCCGCGAACTAGAAAGAGCGTTGTTGGCATGCTAGTTGTTTTTAGCATTACTGTTAGGGCAAAACTGCTTCTAATTCTAAAGCATTTTTAATGTACACGAACCAGAAAGTGCGCCGCTAGCTATAAACGTGACGCAAAACTGCTTCTAATTCTAAAGCGATTTCATTGTCCGCGAACTAGAAAGCGCGTTGTTAGCATGCTAGCTGTTGTAAGCATTACCATGGTGGGAAAACTCCGCTCTGGTTTAAGGAAAGCACTTTAAAAAAAAATCAGGTACAGCAGCTTTGAGAATGAGTTCGGTCAATGAACTTTAAAACCACATATGACCTAACGACATCACAAGGTGGAACCACTTATTTTGAGAGAAAAACGTATGCAAATAAAAAAAAAAATACAACTCCAGGTAGGTTTTTTAAAGAAGACAAGGTGAAGAAGTTCAGTGAGTTCAGCAGAATATGGGACCTTTAAGAGAAATTCTGTACCGTGGAATGCTTTTTTTTTTCTTTTTTCAATTTCAAAATAATAGTACAATCATAAAACCTCAACAAGGAACCTTCTAGAAAAAACAAAGTCCAACAAATTCCCTTTTAGTCCATTTTTCAGAATCCATGCCGGACAGCAGATCAGCTCAGGGCAAGTTTGAGACGATTCCGATTTGAACACTGGACTAGCTATGAGGAAAAGACAACGCGCACCGCAAAAACAAATATCTGCATGAGCTCAAATCAACTCTAAATAATTATCTTAAGTAGTTTCAAATAGATTATTAATTTAGATTTTTATCATTTCCAATTTTTGTTTCATATTTTGTTTTCAGTTTACGCAAATAAATGTATGTAATATATATTTTTTCCATTTAAAGGTTTTATGTATACATACTTTAAGAAATCCAAATAGTTACTTTGGATCAACATAAAATAATTACATAGGGCAAAAATATTATATCATACATTTATTTATCTATTTTTGTTATATATTTTCTTTTATATTAAGTCAAATTTATCTGCCAATAATTAGAATAAGAATTCTGCTGTGAAAATTTGAAAAAAAATTCCACTAAACACAAAAATTTCATTACATTTTGCTCTGAACTCAGACAAAAAACCTCAAAAACGAATCATTCAATTCATTCACTCAATTCCAAATCCATAAATAACTGATGCAGATGTTGGTTTTTGCAGTGGAGCTTGTAATATCCCGCAGTGTGGCATTCATAATCCCTGTTTGGCCAGTGCGGCGGTCACGTCCTGGGCCAGCGTGGACAGCTGGGGGGACTCCATGAGGTTGATGCTGCCGGCGGAGGAGAGCCTGGGGGAGGTGCCACCCGTGTCCAGGCTGATGATCTCTGCTCCATGGTCCACGCGAGCTTTGGCCGTCTCCCGGAACATCAGCTTGTGGTTCTCGATCTGCAAAAAGAATGGAAGAATGATTGGATGGTCGTTTTTTTTAAACTTTTGATTGAATGGAAATGATATGAAAAGAGCTAAGGCACGAGGGTCGATGCATTTGTGAGTGAACTTCCTTGAGTTTTGCGTGTTTTAATTTCTTATTGTTCCCCTGGAATCCAGCTGTGAGAGCCCTGGTCCCTGATTGGTGGATTACCTCTACACCTGGCCAATCCTGCCTCACCTCCAGACTCCTCCCCTTATTTAAGGAGATTGCCAGCACCTGTTTGGGGCTGCTGGCCTTGGTGGCCAGTCTGCCATTTTGTGTTTATGTAGTTCTGTAGTTTAATTCTGGTTTGATTTGGTTTGTGGCCATACCAGCTTGTCAAAGCCTGATCCCGTCAGATCTCAGAAGCTAAGCAGGCTGGGCCTGGGTAGTACTTGGATGGGAGACCACTAGGAATTCTAGGTTCCACAGTGAGGCGCCAGTGGCAAAAAACTGTTGTTGTGTCCTTAGGCAAGACACTTCACCCACATTGCCTAGTATGAAAGTAGTGTGTGCGTGTGAGTGATGGTGGTAGTCGGAGGGGCCGATGGTGCAGATTGTCAGCCTTGCTTCTGTCGGTCTGCCCCAGGGCAGCTGTGACTACAATAGTAGTTTACCACCACTGAGTGTGGAGTGACTGAATAATGAACTGTAAAGCGCTTTGGGGATCTTGAAAGGTGCTATATCAATCAGTCAAATCAATCAATGGTTTGTGCCTTTTTAAATTTGGTCACTCGATTCTGTTTGTGGGCTTATGTGGTTTAATTTGGGGAACTTGTGTTTTAGTTTGTGTGTGTCCTTTAGTTAACCACTCGTTACTGTGTAAACCTGTGTGACCCATTTTGCGACACAAAACTCGTCTCTTAATTCTGTTGTTCTGTTTCTTAGTTTAGGTTAAATTCTGTATATTTTATTCTCTTTTCTTACTTTAACTTTTACACCCCTGTTAATTAAACATTATTTAATGTATTCCATTTTCCATCTTGGTTATTTTTTGTTACTTCCCTCACCTCAATCGAGGTGGGTCATAACACTGTTACTAAACTTTATGCATGTGTGTACCTTAGATATGAATATATTTTAAATTCTTATATTCTATATTAGGGATGCACTGATCCAGCTTTTTCAGTTCTGATACTGATTCTAATACTATGGATTTAAGTATCTGCCCCATACCCAATATCGACTGAAAACACCACTTTCAACAAAAAAAACATGTATTTATCACTTAAGTAACCAGAGAACAGCTTTGTATACATAAAATTCAAACATTACTACGACCAGTAAATATTTTTATTACATCAATTTGTATGTCCAACCTGGATATCGATTGAACCGATATATGAAAGCTAGTAAAGTAAGTAAGTAAAATTAATATTTTTTCTATGCTGTTAATTGGCTAAAAGTGCTTTCATTAGTCTGTGTTGGCATATTGTACTGCATACTGGACAATATTAAAGTGAGTGAGCATCCGTAACAGACATCTGCCAGATTCAGAATATTCGAGTCGTTTCCAGTGTGCCAAATGTGAAAAGCACTCTAAAGTGAGGTGTAACAGCACGTTTGCGACAGGGCACGCACGGCTAAGCTAAGCGCTCACATGGGAGCAGAGGCCATTTGAATATTACATAAACATACTTAAAACCTTCACTTTAAAATGCCATTCCCCACGGCCCACTGGGAACGAGGACGGCACTGTCTGGTCACGAGGTCACAGTGTGTGAGCTGTTATGTTAACCAAAACTGTCCCTCAAACTGCTTGACTGTTTTTGTAGCCCACTGATACATATGGAAAATTATACACATTTTAAATATAAATGCAAACAAGCAGACTGTTCTTACCATATCATTGCCTCCTCCTGGGGTGTGGCTAATGCAGGAATGGTAGTAGTATATAGTTCTTACCATTACACTGCCTCCTGGGGTGTGGCTAGTAGTAGTAGTAGTAGTAGTAGTAGTAGTAGCAGTACTAGTAGTATCAGCAGTTGTAGACAGTTCTTACCATGACATTGCCTCCTCCTGGGGTGTGGCTAGCGTTGTCCAGAGAGCCCACCTTGGGCTGGGCCTTGTCTTTAAAGTCCAGCTTCACGTTGTCGATCTTCACCTGTCCTCCGCCTGAGAAGCAGCGGAACAGAAAGAGAGAAAGAGAAAAAGAAAGAAAGGGAGAAAAGGATGTAAAGAAAGGTTCAGACTCAGGGGAGCAGTGGCCTCCAGCTCCCAGACTCTCCCCTGGAACTGCTGTCGGCAAACTCTCCCAAAATGAACCCTGTTGGTGATGTCTCAATTGGGATAGAAAACGGAATAAGCAAATGGGAAATATTTGTTGAAGTTCTAATCGTGTAGTTTATGCCATCAACAAACTGACGAAGCTGAGTATCATATTTGGAAATCCGCCCGCGAGCATCATAGCAATCAGGGCGAGGTGGCTGAAAATAACGCCCTCTAATCACTTAGCAACACTGTCAATCAAACCGAACCTAACCTATATCAAACCGTTATTTTAAAGCTGCTCTGTGTCACTTTTCTGGACTTTTCAATCCACTCTCTCAGTAAAAATGCATGTATTCCAAATGGATGAATTCAAAATAAATAGTTTAATGCCATACTGTGGAACATTACAGGCAAAGAAGTAACATCTGGACACCCCAACAGAATATTTTTTTTGCTTTAATACCATTGCATGATTATAATTAATGAAAAACGCCACAAATTTTCTTACTTTTATTCCAAGATCTTGAATAACTAAATGGTTGTTTTTGAGACTGGGAGGGCATCTGGTGTAATTATATGGTACATAGTGATTATATCCACTAAAATTTGAGATCATTTCATATATTTATAACAAAAAGCAAACACACGTACCTGGTTTATGGTGAATATTCGACATAGATCCACACTTGGAGGTCACGTGACTTAAATCAATCTTCTTGGTCTGAATTTGAATCTGGAAGTAAAAAAATATATATATTTAAAAAATGACTCGTAACATTTTAATTACGTAAATGAGAGCGTGACGCAGAGATGCAGACTGCAGACAGACGGCGCAACATTGAGGAGGAGACAGCAGATTCAATTAAACTTTATTGTCCATGAGGAAAACGATGTGTACACTGTGAGGGAAATGAGCCAATGAGCTGTTTTACACCGCAGCCTATAAACTCACATTACGGTGTCGTACATATGATGAACAATAACATTACATTACCGCATATGCAGATTTTATATTAGTGAAATTATTATGACATCCCTTTTACATATTAGAGAAATGATAAGGACGCTCGTAACATTTACAATAACACGTTTGCAGTTTTGTACGTTGGTTATTTGCCTTAAATGTTCAGATAAGTTGATGTGTGAAGCTTGATGTGTGAGCTTCAGTCTGTCAGAAGGGGGCGCTACATCGCAAATCGTGTGCTACTCAAGGTAAACACTAGTAGCGGTCCAAGACATTGCTTGAGTAAAAAAAATAGTAAATTATAAAGTCATTTTGTGCTGAAGTTAAATATTACCATAAATTCCGGACTATAAGCTGCTACTTTTCTCACACTTTGAACCCTGCTGTTAATAAAACGACGCGGCGAATATATGGACGGATTTGTTGTTTGGCCGGACATCCACTCATACCTGATCGATGCATCTATCTCTGCCCCCGAGAGAGTCTGAAATCTGCTGAAATCCAGCAAGACACTGACATGATACAGACAGGACAGAGGCTCTTTCTGCAGGAGACATGCGTGGGGAGAGACGGGGTGATGCACTGAGGAAGATGCTCGTTTGATTGTGTTTTGAACGGTTATTTTGCCCTTCATGCACACACCCTCCTCATGGAAAACACACGAAGTGCAGATGATGCAGCTTTTAAGTTAACGGCAGTTGATGTTGATGAATTGATGGTGAGATTTTGGCGACGGCAGTGTAACGAAAAAGACGACAAAAGCTTTCAGAGGCGATAAACGTAAACGGCCCAAACTTAATAACATTCTTGAAAACGTGGACACCTGCGGCTTATATTCAGGTGTGGCCTATATATGTACAATTTAAACATTTTGTCCAAATTTTGTTGATGCAGCTTATATTCAGGTGCGCTCAATAGTCTGGATTTTACGGTACAACAAGTAGAAGTACAAAAAAAAGTATTTTATTAAACTATTACTAAAGTAAGAGTAATTGTAAGAATAACATGCACATGAGATCTGATTTATAATTTGAAGTTAAAGCAGCATTGCAAAATTCGGAAGTGGAAAATCACCAATCCATGGAAACACAAAGGTAAAACCATAGGCCTACTGCAGGACATTGATTCTCCAGGAAAATACTGTATATATGTTTTATACTATACTGTGAAAATTATTTGGCTATAATCCAGACCAAACAAAAGCCAGGTTTGTGGAGATGCAAGCCCATTCACTGTAAGGACAAGGCATGTTTGTATGGTTTTTCACTGTACTGTAAGTACAGTTGCACAGGCTTTGTTCATAGTGCACTTTAAAATCTGATTATAATCTGATTTGTGGACATTTCAGATTATTGAAATGACATGTAAACTGCAAAATCTGATGAGAGTAACTATGTAATCTGATGAATATGATGTTTACATGTAACTTTAATAATCGTATAACTCAATCACAGACACTATCAAATGTCTGAAAGCTGCTCTAAGAAGTACAATTTTATTTAAAGGTTACTCCAGTAAATGTACAGAATACATTTCATACTTTGTGATGTGAGAGTAAAAATGTTGTGTTAACATAAAGCACTTACGTTGCCTCCTCCTGCGTGGTGGTGCATTTTGTCCAGAGAGCCACACTTGGCCTGGACGTGGCTGAAGTCCAGTTTAACACTGGGGATCATCACCTGGGCAACAACAGTTACACACTACAATTAGTATTATTACAACATACTGAATGTCACTTCTCTATTACTCTGCTCCTTCTTCTGTCACTCAAATGATCCTGTGAAATAGCCAATGTTAAATACACCAACCTGTATGAACACGGCGTACTTGAATCCACATGAATCCTTATAGAGCAGCTGGTTTCATGTCAAATGTCTTCTCATTTTTACCAATAGATGTTTCATATCATTAGCCTAATAGCATAACTGCCTATGTATTTTTTTTGGGCCAAATAATGATATGTGCCTAACTTTACTCTCCTGCCACTGCTGTAAAACTGCCTTACTGCCTGTGTCCTCAGCCTGTCAGAACACTTGTTAGAGTCTAAAATCACTGTCTGCCTTAGTCATCTCTATACAATATCAATAAAAAATACTTATATACTTTCTAAAAAATGTGTTTTTCTTGTTTTCCGAAAATGTTCAAATATGACTTAGGCAACTATGCTATTAGGCTAATGATATATGACCATACACAATACATTTTATATGAAAATATATTTCTGAAACTTCATAAACCACATTTTGTGTTATTTATTATGAATGAATTTTTTTTTTATGGTCCTTTTATGGTCACATAGTTAACCCAAAAGCCTACACTAAAATATATTTGAGATACAACTTATTGAATATATTGTTTTGAGTAGTTTTGGCTTGTTTTACTAAGTTAGTAAGTCAAGATACGCTGTACTTGTTTAAGATATAGATATTTTTTCATATTACTCTCTCTTTCATATTACTACTGTTTTTTCTTAAACTCTTAAAATAATTGAATTCTTTGAATTTAATATAACATAGTACACTTTTCTTACTTCATGAGTGAAAACATTTCTGGCACTGGGAGATGTTATTCCTTTGTCTGGAAAGTTCCACAGTACGGCATTAAATGTACCTATATTTCATTTATTCAATTGCAGGTATTGCATTGCTCACAAATACCTAGAAAATCATTCTTAATGTGAGTGGGGTCACCTTTCTGCAGATCTGACTTGCAACTTGACCAAACAGATAGCAAAACCTTGTTCATGACATACTGTGGAACCTTCCAGACAAAACAATAACATCACCATGGAGACAAGCAGGTGACAAACCCTCTATGAGAAGATTTCATCATCTTTAAAGTACACTGAATAAAGCTGAAATATCTGGACCGACTAACCTCAACAAAATTGTCCAAATTACTCAAAACAAGATTCTTAATTAGTGTTTGTTATCATTTTTCATCATATTTAACCCTTTCCAGGCCGAGACAAACAGACAAACAAACACACAGACGTAGCACAGAATGAATTAGCAGAGAAAAGAAGCAAATGATAGAAGCCAGAGTAAAAGCAGAGAGGACAGTACATACATTGCCGCCTTTGGGTGCGTGCTTGACGTTGTCCATGGAGCCACATTTAGACTGGACATGACTGAAGTCCAGCTTCTCACTTAAAATGTTCACCTACAACAAAACCGCACAGCAAAAGAAAGAAAACAACAAAATCTATATGTGCTATGTGTCTCATTATCTGCACGTAGAATACAGTTATATGATATCTGTCTGTATGTATATGAGGAGATGAGGAGGGCCAAACATGCACAGAAGCACAGAGGAAGGGGGGGTAGGCAGAGGACATATTATCAGGTACACACTGAAGTTAAGATCATGTTTTTGTAGTATTTTCTTTTCTGTTTTTCTTTCTTTTTTTTTTTTTTGAGTGTGATCAAAGAAAAATTCCTTACCACTTCTCAATCCGTGTCATTCATTCATTCATCTTTCAAAATAAAACAAAACAAAACAACAACAAAAACAAAACAAACAACAAAAAAATTTTCTTCATTATTTGTCTCCAAAACCAAAATGAAACAGATAATGGTTTGTTTTTTCATTTTTCGATTTTGTGTTTAAATTAATAATAACGGAAACCATTTCTGTGATTTAAACTGTGCTGCCGGACTTTTGCACAGTACACGGACTGAACCAGGTCCAGGACCAGACCAGAACCAGACCGGGACTGAGACCAGGACTTAGACTGGGACCAGACCAGGACTGAGTCTATGACCAGACCGGGACCAGGACCAGGACTGAGACCAGGAACAGGACCAGAACTGAGACCAGGACTGAGACTGGGACTGAGGTCGGGACCAGACCAGGACCAGACTGTGACTGAGACCGGGACTGAGACTGGGAACAGGACCAAGGACTGAGACCTGGAACAGGACCGGGACTGAGCCCGGGACTGAGCCCGGGACTGAGACCGGGACTGAGACCGGGACTGAGACCAGGACCAGACCGTGATTGAGACTGGGACTGAGACTGGGAGTGAGACTGGGACTCAGACCGGGACTGAAAACGTTTTAGTCCTGGTTTAGTCCTGGTTTAGTCCTGGTTTAGTCCTGGTTTAGTCCTGGTTTAGTACTGGTTTAGTACTGGTTTAGTCTGTATGCGGCACAAAAGTTCTGCATCGCAGTTTGAGTCACAGAAACAGGAAACAGCCATAATCCATTTTTTCCATTATTCATTTAAACACAAAATCGAAAAATGAAAAAACAAATTGTTATAATTTTTTTTTCATTTTGGTTTTAGAGACAAATAATGAAAAAAAAATAGTTAGTTTTTTTTTCCTTTTCTTTTGATTTTTGGTTTTATATTGAAAAACAAATGAACGAATGGACATAAAAACTGCATCGGACTTCTACCTATGACACAACAATCCTGGTAAAATTTAATTCCTTTATTTTCTTTTTGACAGCTCAGGTGACACCGATTTACTGCACAAGATTTATCATGCAAAATGCAACTCCAGGTTCTAATATAATGTTGTGTTCCCACCAAAAATAATGCCTATTAACACTCTATTTCACCTTGTGACATCATCAGGCTCCTTCTTGTTTGCAAAAGTTCATCTGTCTTCAAATTACTGATCATTTTTGTCCTTTCTTTTTATAGCTTTACTCTCTATACTTTACAAAATAAAGCCTAACATGGGAACTTTTGCATCCACAACAACAAAGTGTACCTGATAATATGACTTTGTACTACTGCGTTAGAATGGACATTTTTTATATAACGTAAACATAAAACAAAATCTTTCTTTGGTCGAGCAGTGAAATCTCAGGGGGCACCTGCCAACGCGCCTGTATGTTTTTACAGTGACCTACATTCTGACCGAGTCCTCCCACCTGCGCACGCTATTTTAGGCTCATCCCTCTATTTCAGCCCACTTTTTAGTCTTACAGGATCATTAGGATTATTTATCCAGCACATCACTATGGCAAATTGTGTCAGGGTAGGGTTTTTTTGTTTTTTTTTATAGTGAGTTGAATCTACTTTTTAGAGTAGAGAACAAGTAACACATTTTGTAAGTCCAAGTAATCCAATATTTTCAAATCAGTGACAGTTTTAAATAAAGGTTAGGAAAATTTTAAAAATTCATTTTATTCTATTCAACTGAATTTTTTTTTTTTTTTTTAATGGAAAATATATTTGGACTATTAATTAATCTAGACCACTTAACATTTGTGGGTGATTAATTAAGGTGCACTATGTAACTTTTATAAAGGAGGATCTGCCATCTGCTTGTTTCCATGGAGATGTCGTCACTGTATTAAACTATCTATCTCTATCAAGCTAAGCAGGCCAAGTTACAGGTCAGATCTGTGGAGAGGCGACCCTCCTGACTTTAAGAATGCCTGTTTTTCCGAGGTATTTTTTTTAGCTAAAATGATTGAAAAATACAAGATAGAAGTTTAATTTCATATTGTGAAACATTCCAGAGGACATATTACACAACATCTTTTCTCTTCTTTTGACATATGTAATGTTAAACCTTTTCTTATTAAAATAAATAAAGGTTTTGCATAAACATTGAATCCGGAACAAGCATCAAATAAAAGAAAAACATAATTTTAAATAAATAATGTTTTTATAGTCTATCTGTAGCCGGTGGCACCTCTAATACATATTTGAAATGATCTCAAGGGCCAAATATAATTATGTTGAATTTGGCCCCTGGGCCTGAGTTTGACATGTCTGCACTAGAATGATGGTCACATGTTCGATATTATTCTTTAAGAGTGAACATGTGGGTTTAGACGCCTGAATGATCTTTATGCACTATGTTATTACATTTCAGAGATATAGACCATGACAATAAATTTGGAATGAAAATGGCCATAAAATAGGAAGATAGTATTAAAATCACATTGCTTTTATCGAGTCAAGCAGAAAAAGTGTCATTATACAAAAACTTAAGACAAAAGGAAAGTGGGATACAACCTTTTCTCTTTTTGGATTTGATGCATACCGGCCACTAGGGGACGCCCCAACTTGTATCCATGGATTTTTAAAAACCTTACACCTAAATCTTACACCCTGCCAAAAATCTAAAACTTTTCCAGGAACGCACAATCCTCATGATATTTCATAATTTCCCTGCCAAATAAATTGTAAAATATGATGTTGCATTTGTCAAGAATACACAAAACAATATAGAAATACAACTACTTTAAGTTTAATTCTTCTTCTTTTTTTTTTTTTTTTTTAAGTTTCTGTAATAGTAGTGCAGACGTTGGCCTATTTTATCAAAACACTTATCTTCTATATTGATTTTGGTCGCCATGGTAACAATCTGCCAGCTTCTCGGCGCAGCCTTTATTACACATGTCTCGTTTTTCTCTCTCCGCCGAGGAAGTGGAAGTCAGACGGTCATAAATCACAAAGCTCCTAATGAACTGGACTCATATGGGAACGAGATATGAATATCTTCTATACATTAAAACATGATGACTAGATAATGCATAGGCTCATATATATATACATAGGCCTACTGTTGCAGAAGGAGAAGTACAGGGAATTCAGGTAACAGGTTGGGCCTTTAAATAAGTCATTCATTTCACTGGGAATAATTCATAAGGAGATTCCCACGCAGCAGGAGCCCCGGGCGCTGCTGGAGGTTCAGGTTATTTTGGGTGCAGTG